GAAACAAATGCCTGGATTAGCATTTAAATGCATTTGGACCCCCCCCCCCGTAGATTTGCAGTGCTCTGAGAGCAGGCACAGCAGATGTTTCTGAGACTTGGGGGGGCGGGGGGGGGGGTTTGAGGGGGTGTTTATGACTGTGATGGGGCCAGCTGTGCATTGTCTATCCTGGCTGGCCATTGTCTGAGCTGGAGAGACAGGAACAGATGGCGTTCTCGATTTGAGGGAGCAAGGCCATCATGGGGGGGGGGGGGGGGGGGGGGGGAGCAGTGCTTAGGCCAGTCTCCCCCCAGTGGCTCTCAAGTGTCCTGTGAGCGGAACTGGCACACTTGCCTCCCCCATCCCCCCCTTGCCCATTCCAGGCGGTGCAGTGGGCAGTGGGCAGTGGTTCCGGAGCATGCAGCATGTGCAGATCACTCAACTCCCACAGATCTCTCTGCCCCTTCAGTGACATTTCCCTTGGTTTTAGAAATCATGCTGCATTTCAGTAGCTTCAAAAGGCCGATGACGTCACACCGGGCACCATGTCTCAATGCGACGAAGACCGGCGCACACAAGCAGTCAAATCCGCTGCGTTCAGCGGCCCGCTGTGAATGTAGCTGTGCGAGTTCCTAGGCTGAGTCCAGAGCTCAGCTGGGCTTCTCCCACACGGTGCTTTTTGGGCTACAGCACCCACAAATCTTTTTACAAGGTAACATTTTGTACCAGCTGGTGGCCCCGTTTTGGCTGGTGATGCTATAGTATGTGTGCGTTCACACGTGTGTAACTGACTACTGAGTCCTCTTAGGTTTCTTCTGATGGTTCAACAGCAGTATCCCCCCTGCCTGAGAAACCACACCTCTCACTGTCTGCACATGCCTTCCTCAGCAGTTCACCTTGCAGCACAACGAACCCTCTGCTCCTCAGATTAGCTCCGCTTCCCATACACCTTTCCATCCTTTGCTTGTCTCATTGACTTATGCCACTCTCTCCTTCTCCCTCCCTCCCTCCTTTTCTCATTTTGTGAGAAGGGAGTCAGTTCATTTACCATATTACCGTGTTCCCCAGGGCTAAGGCTGCTACCGATGCAATCAGGTGCAGAGGAAATGGTGTCTGGCTCTGGTGGCTGACGCAGTGGTGATATCCGGTTGATCGTCTTCCCAAACGCGCTTCTCCTCACGTCACGCTGGCCTTGAATCTCATACTGAATCAGTAGGAGGACACATGACATGTAGAGCAACAAAGAGCCTCTGTTAGAAAATGCCGGTAAGAAGTCTGACAGACAATGCAGAGCTGGAGGGCGTCGAGTTTCAAAGGGAGACGACTTTGGAGTAAACACAAAGGAGGGCTCAGCAGGGGGGGGGGGACAGGTTGGCTGTACAGTGTCCCAGCTCTGGTCCGGACTGGGCACTGGTTCTGACAATACTGTACAGATTTGAGGTGTTTCTGCCGGGCTGGACTCTGGTTCTGTCAGCACTGTACAGTTGTACAGTGTGTGTGCCAGGCTAGGGTCTGGTCATATCTGCACTGTATAGCTGTACAGTGTCCATGCCAGGCTAGGCTTTGGTCATGTCTGCACTGTACAGCTGTACAGTGTCCATGCCAGGCTAGGCTTTGGTCATGTCTGCACTGTACAGCTGTACAGTGTCTGTGCCAGCTCCCAAGTCTACTTTTTCTGTACTGCTGCATGTGGCTGTACTGCACCCCCCCTAAATCCCACAGGACTCTCCCTGGACAGCGTGACGCCATCCTGCACAGTAAAGCGATTATCCTAGGCCACTACACTGTGAGACACACTGGCACGTGAGCAGTATCACCCAAACCACGCTGCTTTATGAGCCTGTTGTGTCAGACGCTGTCCCGGCTGGTGGTCCCACGTCACGGGGTGGGAGGGTGGTCCGCCTGTTTTGCTGGAGAGGAAATGGCTCACATGTGCAAAGGCAGATTCGGTGCAGCGTGGCACGGCCCTGCCCGCGTCTCCTGCCTGGTGAGCGTGCACACCCAGCTCTGCATGCGTAATTAGGCCAGCGCCGTTCCCCCTGGGCCTGGCAGCAGCGTTTCTGAGCTCCTGTTTTCATAGCGCGGCTTGGCTCGCTATCACATTACTGCACAGACGCTGATGCAGCAACTGGCCCCTCCCCCACCCCCTCGGGACCCCAGTCCACTCAGGCACCGAGAAGAGAGTACCTCACCAACCCCCTCATAGGCCCTTGCTGGTAACACCAGAACTGTTTTTAAAAGGGCCAGTCGTTCTTCAGGGGGAGGGGGGGGGGGAACCACTGCCCCCGAGGAGGTAACCCAAAGCCCCGTGGCCCCTCCTGGGGAGGGCCTTGAGTCCGGCCTGCAAGGTAAACAGACGGCTCACATACTCACAGCTGTGCATGTTTCACTTCAGCTCGGGGCTCTCGAACACCGACCGCTGTTTCTACGCCGCCACTGGGACCGGCCTCCCCCTTTGTAACTTTCCGCTCCCGGCGGAAAAAGCTTCATAGACAGTTTTGGATTTATTTTCTTGGTAAAGCAGAGGTCCGAAAGCTGTCTTTCTGCAGAGTTAAGAGTCACACATGGCAGAATGATAATAATTCGCGATTTAATGAGATTTCACTGGGGGAGGGACCATACGTGGCTAAAAAGCACAATTCATCCCCAGCACAAAAGAGGACTGTGCTGTACAGTACCGAACCCACACAGGCTCACACAAAGGGGGCTTTTCTCAGACCTTTTGGGGATCCCATGACTAACTGTGCACAAAGCTTTGTTGTGTGTATGTAGGTTCACAGCCCACGGCCATCTCTGGGTGCAACCACACATGTGCATGTGGATTCCTGTGTGTGTATGTATGTGTGTGTGTGTGTGTTCAGCCATGCTGCCTACAACCCCCTTCCACCTCAGACTCTCCTCCCTCTGACCTTTGAAAAGCTGAACTTCCCCTATACTAATGACTTTTACATTTATTTTAATCAATGGATCAGAAGAGCATACAGAACTCTGACATAGCATACAAATTCATCCAGTCAATCATTGCTTCTAATTGTGGTTATTTTCACACTTATTGTTTGATTGGCTGGTTGGTTGATTGATTGATTCATAGACAGTTTCAGATTTATTTTCTTGTTAGAGCCAAATTGACCAGCCAAATTACGTTTGTTAGCCTAGTTGGGAAACTTAGCTGTGTTCCTGTCTGATTCTTGATGAGTGTTGACGTAGCCAGCTGATTTAACTGTGCATCCCTTTCTGATCTATAAGGAGTGTTAGCCTAGCCAGTTGCTTTAGCCATGGGTGTCTTTGTGTACCCTGTCCATGGAGTGTTAGCCTGGCTAGCTTGTTAGCTGCATGTCCCTTTCTGCTCCTTGAAGAGTGTTAACCTAGCCAGCCGAGTTAGCCGTGTTTCACTTTCTGAACTTTGAGGCGTGTTAGCCTAGCCAGCTGAGTTAGCCGTGTTTCACTTTCTGAACTTTGAGGCGTGTTAGCCTAGCCAGCTGACTTAGCCATATGCACCTTTCTTATCCTTGATGGGTCTGAAAGCTCTTCCTGCAGTCCTCAAGCCTATTGGTTGACCTGATTCATGGAGTGGCCATTTGGGAACCATTTGAGACAAATGGCTCAATCTGTCTGCAGAATGGGAAGCATGAAGCTCTGTCTGGACACATTTGAAATAGCAGAAACAGCCTGTAGTATTGTAGCCTTCAGGTGGTGATCAGATACCTCTGAACTGAGGGTGTTAAAGGGAGGTTGCAGCATGAAGTGACCAATTTTCCGAAGCAGAGTCATCTACGATCCAGTCCGTAGCCCCGTGACGGCTTGGTTCACTGTGTCCTTCAGGTGCTCAGAGCTCAGGGTCACCAAAGGTTTGGAATAAATTTTGTTCCACTAAATTCAATTTCAATTCCACATAATTCACCGGCAAGATTTAATGGGTGTTTATTATGTTCCTTGCAGATGGTTGGATAAAATTATCCGTATTGAATCGAGGAGTCTTTAAACACTGATGAGGGAACTGCGCGACTTGAATAAACGGCATAAACAGGGACACAAATTGCGACTAAGTGCAGGGATCTCGGCAGCCTCCTGCAGACAAATCACATTCACTTATTGCTGTGACAAGGAACAAGCTTGTGGATCTGATTAAATTAGCATGACGTCGCTTCTGGACGAACTTGAGGCTGCGATACTCCTGGGTGTCAATTTGCAAATTTTCGAGCTGCTGGACAGATTCAAGCACTCTCCGCGTACACAGTGACTGACTCCTCTCCCCTCGGCGAGCTCTCAGGTCACTGGGCGGGGGCTCCACATGCTTCATTTCACTCGTGCCCCAAAGCTGCCCCTCCACTTCTCAATTTCACCTCCCCCCCCCACCGAAGCTTCCAGCCCGTGCTGCTGTTTGTAAACATTCACTGCAGTAAACGGTTTGTCTGATTGCACGCTTTAATTGTCGTTATGCAGCGTGGAGTTTATCTCTAGAAACTCATAACGGAAAAGCCGCAGATATGAATGTTTGTTTGAGGCAGCGTCCCCGTCAGCTGAGCGAGGAGGACCGTGCTGTCTGGAGCAGAGGCGGATAAGGATGTGCAGCTTGGCATTCGTTCCAAAGTACCGTGTTTGTGAACTAGCAAGACGACTCGATCGCTTGCTCGTTCCACTCGCGGAACGTTCTGTGATGGAAGACGGGAAAGTGTGTGTTTTCTGGTGGTGGTGGTGGGGGGGGGGATTCAGAATAACAGGTACAAGAATGTTTTAGGGGATTGAGGCCTCAAAGAGGAGGAAATCATTATATATACAGTACTTATCTTTGAATTATTACCAGGCCTTCCTCTAAATTGTTCCTCCATTATAACTGTTTAGACATTTATATTTATTTACACTATAAAATACACGATGCAAAACATACCTACATACTAGGTACGATGCCGCTACTAAGTATTATTGCATCTCGCCTCACCTGGTGAGCGTCACACCTGGGGAGTGAGCCTCTCAGCCTCGAGAGCCCTCGCACCTTGCGGGCGTGTCGGGGGGCCACACGGCTCACGAGGACGGCGCACGACAGCCCCGAGCGTGAACATGCAGCCCCGCATCCCACGGCGCTCTGGGTTTTCCGCCGCATCCCCTAATCCGGACCTCCTACCCCTCCCCCCTTTGGTGTTTGCTTGTGTTAAAGTGTTAAGCTGTAATAAAACAGGACTTTATTTGAAGAGGCTGGTCCAGGGAGGTGGGGGAGGCTGTTTTGAAACAGACATACACACAGCCGTAGAAAAACTAAAAGTAACCACTGGAAAAATGAGAAGACAGACAGGCAGAGTCTTACCACAAACACCATATTAATACCGCCCTTAGTAACAAGCTGCTTGCAGAAACGTTCATGCAACGTCTGTAATATGCTTGGTGCACTGCAGCGTGCAGACAGGAGGGACAGTGCCCTCATTATCCCCACATTGTCTGCCTATGTACGGCAGAGACAATATATATTACATATTTTTGTTTTGTATTCTGAAGGCACACTATGGGAAATGTGTTTAAATGATTGCTATTAAATAACTGCCGCTTTGACATTGCTCATTTATAGTGCTCGTTAAGGCATATTTGCAATGCAGCACTCACTGAGGACTCTTTTTTTAAGCTTTTCAGGGGAACAGTCCAGGTAACATGGAAATGGTGCGTCCTTGACCATGGATTAATTAATCCCATTGCTAACCCACTTTTTAATTTTAATTTGCATAAAATGTTTTAGCACCGTGCTGTTGAATATTAAAAACAGCCACTCTGGATCAAAGGGTTTCTGGGTTAAAAAATGACATTTGTTGAAGATATCCTGCGGGATTTTCCCCCTAGTTTCTGATAGTGAGGGCTCCTTTGCCTTGAGAAGCTTTATGGGGTCTTATTTCCCATCAGTTTATGGTGGTCTTGTTGCTGGGCGGATCGACCTGATTTCAGCAGCTGATCCTACCTTTGTTTCCATGGTTGGCTCCAGCTGTTGCCGTCCTGCTCATCAGCCCAACTCTGTCTTTTCCACTGAGCCTCTGCTGGTTCCCACAGAGGATCAGCTATTGGCTTGTTGATGTTTCAGGTGAAAATATAGGATATTTGGGGCCTTTGACTATACATTGGATAAGCAATTATGGAATGATGGATGGATGGATGAATGATTTATTCTAATAATTCACATATTTTCCAGTGGGTCACTCTCTGTCCTCCATGTGATGCTTCAGCATGGAGTCCTGCTTAACTGCTGCCTGTAAAGATGCCCAGTGATCCAGAGAGGCCAGTCCATCCTCTGATGTTGATCGATATTGACGAGAGCAGTCAAACACCCCCCCCCCCAAGCTATTCTCAGCTGCTGCCGTCGGGAACGTGGTGCCACACGATGGCCATGTGCAGCCCACGGAGATGCCGTCCTCCTGGCGAGATGTCCTCTTTGCACATAATTGTTCAACAGAGTTTTGTTTGCGCCGCATTTGAATTTCAGATGAAGGGCCGTCGATAAAGGGCTGTATACATAATTCCCCATACTTAAAATTCATTGCTTTGTTGATAAAACAAAAGAGAAATGAATTCCTGTCAGGTGAGTCTATGTAAAGGAGATCTTCCCAGCATCCAGACACTGGCATGGATTGAGCAGAGTCTGCCTGGGCTCACATTTAGGTGCCTGGAGGACTCCTCTGCCTTCTGCTTGCTGTCATGGAGAGTAACAAGCATCCCGTGAATGACTCTGTGGAACGGTGCACAAGGCGGGCTGTATGTTACACTGCTGACCAACCAGCTTCCACTTGTCCATCAGATCACACCGCCTGCATGATTTTCAGCGGCGCAGACGGTGCTCTCACTCAAAGTAATGCATATAGTTCCTTACCTCAAGATTTTATTTGCTGATATTCGTGCTATATCAGCTGAAATCAGACATTCTGCTGCCGGAGTGTCTGGCAGGGTGCCCTTCCTCAGCCACTCCTCCTACTCCCCCTTACAACCCCCCCCCCTGTCTGGTTTTCCTAACCACTATACCACCTGTATATATCCTGCTGTGTTTTAACTTTCTGGGCGCCCCCAAAAACACTCTGTGACCCCAGACTTTCAAAAGTCACTTCTCCGTTTTGCCCAGTGCTCCCGTCTGGGTACAGTGGCCTAGTTGTCCAGCCTGGATGAATCCCCCTTCTGAATAGTCATCTAGACGAGGGTCTCTGCAAACAAGGTAAATAATACAAGAAAAAGCATTTACCATGAACCCAGCTCTACAAGACAGTTAAAAATGTAGTTAACTTGGTCAAAGATTTATATCACCTTCAGTGCTTCAGGGAATCACATACGCACCACCCGCTCTTCACAGTGGTTGGTGGTTAAAATTCTTTTTTTTTCTTCTTTTTTTTTAGATTTGGTAGTGATTTTTTTTTATTGGGACTGAAACCTGTAGGGCCTGCAAGGAAAGAGAGGATCTAAATTTTTAAAATAGAATTCGGTTTTAACAGTGCCCCCTACAGTAATGTTGGAAGGAGCATGAACCTTCTCCGTATTAAACCTCAGAAAGCCTGATCACCCGTACAAGCTGTACACTATACACTGTGGGATAATTATACCTTTATGATGATTGTATTAAACTCATTCGCTTCTTACCTTCATACAACTCCAAATGATAAATGATGATTTTATTTATGTCTAGAAAAGGTCAGGAGTTCAGTAAGGGCAATCGATAAAAGAAAATATGTAATTTTCTCAGTGAGAAACGTAATCATGCAGACATTATCAACTCGTAACGTTTAAGCATTAAGAGACACTAATGCAATTTTACATAGCCATTAGACAGCTAAACAAAGCAGAGATATGAGATATGCTTCTATAATCATTATTAACCTTAAAACAGTAATTTAAGACAGTGGTTCCTCAATTCACCACTCACCCCACCCTGAAAAAAGGTAAAATAATCTACGGATCAAACTTCTCACATTAAGTATGAAAATGAGGATTTTTCAGGTTTTGTTCGAGGTAGATCCTAAAGGTCTTTGTCATATGCCTAAATCTAGCGCTTTCTATTATTATTTTGAATATTTTCTAAATAAATATTCATGCTCAATATTACCCAGGAAATATTCTTGCTAAAAATAAATTAAATCTTTTAAAAGTGTTTGGAAATAATCTGTGCCTAGCAGGTTTCGTATTTACTTCTCTTTAAATAGTTCTGCAGGTATTGTCGCAGTGGACATGAAAATCCATTAAGATGGTCAAAACACTAAAAGGACCAAGCCGACGGTTTGATTGTTATAATCTGAAGAACATATTGTTATATCATGTTTTTGCTAGCAGCCAGTATTGTATTATTATTATTATTCAAATTATTTCGAACTATAGACTATATGGTATTCTGTGTGTTTTGTCCGGGGCTGGATTAGGCGATGTGCCCTGGAGTCCGATTTGTGTATCTGCTGAGCCACGTCCATAGCCGTCCATACCCGGAGCAGGAGCCGCACACTCGGCTGGAAATAAGGCTGGTTCCTGTATGAATAAAGGCGTTGCGCATATACTCCCGGACTGGCTTATTCGTGCAAGGAGAGGCAGAGCCTGTGTGTCGGTGTGTGTGCGCGCGCGCGCGCGCGTGTGTGTGTGTATTTTGGAAGCGGACCGGGTTCATTCGTCCTCCCTACGGGCTCCTATTACAGCGCAGGGCGAGTGTGGGACCGCAGGAGGAAGACGCGCTTCTATGGCCACTACTAACAGCATCGTTTTCACAGTTTCCCCACAAATCGAGGATAAACAAAAGGGTCGGAGTTTGTGAGGAGTAAACACACACACACGGACACACAAACGTACAGCCAGCATTACGGGTGTCCGTGATCTCCCGGACCCTACAGACCGCATCAAGAAAGCGGATATCTATTATTCTGCACTTTTCCGGAGCGGCTTTCGGATCGGGAATACCGCATGAACAGCTGAACAGGCAGCGCAAAAGTCCGGTAAGTTTGAGCCGCTGCTCCGGCCGATATTTACCTTTTGTGGGCTCCGAAGTGTCTACTCTGTGTTTTGGGTCTTTTTCTGGGGGTGCGCTGTGAAGAAATTGGGTTTGGGCACATAATGCTGCTGCTCGACTTCAACAGAACCGGGTTGTTCTCCAGCTGTTGCCCAAAACATCACAGTCTCATTTGTATAAAAATACTTCAAAACGGATTGCATTTATTTCCAGCTGCAACTTTATTTCCAGCGGTGTGGTGTGCACGTAGCGCAATCCGGTCCGGGGTGGGGGGACGACTTTGTCGGTGAAAAATACGAATAAAACATAATAGGCTGTTTATACGCCGTGGTTATAGCCTACGTACTTAGCAGCGTTCGTTTTATTCTAATTCAGTTAGGAAACAGTCGCGATTCAGTGCGTTTTTCCCGGACTATGGCTGGATTGTACTACTGTAATGTCATTTACTCCGATTCACTTGCGTTTCCTATGCTGAGTGGTGAGCCATCCCCCGAGCTCTTACGGTTTTAAATGGTTGGCGATCTGCTTTTAACTCGGGTCACCGACCAGTTACATTTGTGTCATTTTCGTGCACTGGGGGTACTTTGCAATACACATATTGCATAGCACCAACTTTGTTTTAAACAGCAGTTTTACGTCGTTTATCTTAGTCGTTATTTAGTCCCCATCTGCGAATTGAGGCGCAAAGCGGCTCGCCTTCTTTGTTCTTTGCCTCTTTTAGGAGGTAATGAAATACGCATCTACCGCAGCTGGGTGATTATAGTAATTGCAGCGTGACCTGTGTGGGCAGGAGCTGCTCTGCTGTGATGCATAGGGACCGGACCCTGGTGTTTCTGTGTGGGAGACCCCCCCTCCCCCCCCAGTAGTGTCATTTTCTTCTGGGGATAAATATCAACGGCTGGCTGTAGTTACCCACAAATCCTTTATGCATCTGTTTAGTGTTTTGAGCGTTGTGTTTTTGTTAGATGGTTTGTGTGTGTGTGTGTGTGTGTGTGTGTGTGTGTGTGTGCACGCGAATGTGTTTCTGAAAGGGTGCGTAGACATATCCATGTTTGTGTGTGTTGGGGGTGGGGGTGACAGGCCAGTGGAAACTCTCTTGCCACTTCACCCCAGATGTTAATCTGTGCATTGAGAGTCAGATTGGATTCCTGCAGAGTTGATCTCTTCATTGTCAGACTCACAATGGACATACATCCTGAGGACCCCCCCCACACTCTGCCCCCGCCCCACTGCAGTGTTTTTCTATGCTGATTTGCAGTCTGTGAGCCTTTTAATGCTAACTGGTTTTGCAGACGCATATAATGAATAATGAAGAACAAACCAATTACCCTGCCATGCAGTCTCCCTGCTGCACTTTCTGGATCTCATTGGCTGTCCAGTTGATGTTTGGCCCGCGGGCACCTGGTCATGGTGGTGTCGGTCAGGTCAGCACGTAACAGACGAAGGCGGACATTTTGAATAGGTGTTAAAAAGGCCGAGTTGTTACTCTTGGGGCCCAGAAAACAGGGTTTGATGACACAGTATCTGACGACCATGTGTGTTCCATCAACGTCCCAATCGCAGAGACACACCACTGCTGTATCATCCGTCCACAGCCCCATGAAACAGCAGTGGGCCATGCCCTTTGCAGGTGGTTCAAATTAAATATCTATGACAGCTCTGAAACAGTTTATTCCCATCGGACACAGCAGCACAGGGAGCAGGGCGCAGATTTAAACCTGAAGGTCGTCTCAACGAGACCCCCAGCCAAAATACTGTGGGCAGCTTTGTGGATGGTGAAATGCATGACGTCTGGATAGGCACAATACGTAAGCAGCCAGAAGCTAGTAGAAAGCTAGCCAGAAGCTATTGGAAAGCTAGCCAGAAGCTAATGGAAGGCTAACCAGATGCTAACAGAAAGCTAGCCAGTAGGTACTGGAAAGTTAGCCAAATGCTAACAGAAAGCTAGCCAGGAGTTAACAGAAAGCTAGCCAAAAGCTAATGCTGCAGTTTGACATTAGGTGATATGTGATAGCCACACTTCATACAGCTTTTTCTCTTTTCCTCTTCCTACACATACTCCATCCCCACCCCCCTTTGTCTACTTTATTTCTCTCCAATTACTCCCCCCCCCCCATTTTTCCCTCTCAGTTCTAGTGGAAAATGAGCCAAATGACCCGCTATCATTCCTGTGGTGGGCTCCGAGATCTCAGTGTGGTGCTAATGGTCTGGGGGCAATTAGCCAGAGCAGAGGAGTGACAGGCCTGTCCTGGAGTCAGGGGTGGGGGCGTCTGCTCCCCTACGTGACGTCTGGAGAAGCACCAGCAAACGCTTGCCCGCCATTTCTCAGGCAAACGGTGGTGGCATCTTGGCCCCCCCATGGCCATATGGCTTGTGGGCTCACACTGCAGTGAATTGTGCACAGCTGTAGGGGTTAAGGCAGGTGGTGTGTATGGGGGGTGTTCACTTCCATGCCTTCCCATGAAGTGTAGTTCCTCTTACCAGACTCCCCGCCCCTCGTTTGTTTAGTGTGGGCCTCAGTGCTTTATGGTCCAGTGGCATTTTCAGGGGAAGCCTGACCTATGGCCTTCCCTTTGGGGGAGGGGCCAGGGTTGACCCTGGACTTGATTGGCTGCCTCATTTAAAAACAAATCCCACCTTTCGGATGTGATTACTGTGAACAGAGCTGATAGTGGGGAGAGAGAGAGAGAAAGAGAGAGAAGGGGGAGGAGACGCAGCTAACGGAAAAAGGAGACGCAGCTAACGGAAAAAGGAGACGCAGTGGTGTGGGGGTGGGGGCCTTCGCTGCTCGGAGGTGGAAGGCAGGACTCACAGTGAGCCGTTTGTTAGCAATTGAGCAGCACTGGCCATCTGCAGCTGGAGGCTGTGTTAGCGATCTGCACTCTGTGTGTGAGCATGTTTACATTCCCCCTGGTTCCCTGCTCTCTTGGGCCTCTGTGAGTGCCGCCCGTGACATGGCCAGCGTGGGCCAGTTCCCTGCTCTCGGGCCTCTGTGAGTGCCGCCCCGTGACATGGCCAGCGTGGGCCAGTTCCCTGCTCTCGGGCCTCTGTGAGTGCCGCCCCGTGACCTGGCCAGCGTGGGCCAGTCCCCCACGTCGCATTGGAAGCCACGTGCCCTGTTTGCGGTCACATTAAGCAGTGCCCACCTCGTTTTCCATTTTGTTTCTGTGCTTTTCCCTACTCCTCCTACTCTCCCCCCGTGCCTTGGCCCAACACAGCCTCCTGGGTATGTGGCAGGGTGATGGGGGAACCACAGTTAGTTTGCATTGGCACCTTTTGCGGCGGAGCTTTGTTCTCATGTGGCAGAGAGATGGATCTCCAGGCCACTGGAAATGCTGCAGAGCCACCATCCTGCCACCAGCGTTGGAGGGGGCACCCGGCCCAATCAGCTCTGGATTCCGGTACCGAGGCGGTTGGTGGCAGGTTTGGCAGGCCTGCCTGTTTCAGGGTGCCAGGCGGGTGCTGAGTGGTTTTGAGCCCCCCCGTGTTTATTGGACCAGCATCCATCCCAGCCTCTCCATCTCCCCCAGCTCACTTTCTGTTCTTGGACAGCATGCCCCTGTTCTCTCCTCTCCTCTCCCTCCCCCCCTCCATCACTCACTCCTTTTTCAAGTATTCAGGAAACTATGAACTCTTAACAGCACCATACCCAGTTTGGGAGGGGCATTGGAGGGGGGGGGGCTGTCTGCATCCCCTCCCAAACTCTTAAACTGCCCTTTTGCACATCAAAAAATCAATAGAGTATTTCTTAAAAAGGTCCGGGAAACGGTGCGAGCCAGAGATCCACGCTGATACGTTTGGGGCCTTTCACTCATTCCCTCTGCCTCTCAAACTCTCTCCAGCCAGAGTCTTCAGAGCTGGGGGGGGCAGTGGTGGTAAATTTAATAAATCCATTTGGCCCCCCTTTTAAGTCCGCCATCTCCCCACCTCCCTATCCTACGCCTCCTTAAGTGTCTTGGAGTGATTTTCTCATTACCTTTTCCATTCACCTTCTTGGAAGCCTTGTTTGTTAATGAATTGATTTTTTGTTAAGCTAAATGCATTTATATCTGTGTTCACAAGCTCAGCTCTCCAGCGCCCCCTGACCCCAACATCAGTCGGGCCTTCTCAGCTACCCATAATACTCTGTGAATTTGTGTTTTGTCCTGTTATATTCCAGCTTGTGGTCGGCACTGGTGTTTTTCATCTCCGCAGTTATTCTGTGCCAGTTCGAAACTTTGACTCCACCTTGACTCCGTGCAGATTACACTGTGACTCTGCAGTGACTCCTGCAGGAACACGTAGCCTGCCTGCTTTGTGACAGTCCCATTGGTGGGGGGTGGGGAGGGGATGGAGGTGCCATATTCTCAGCAATTGGTTGGTTTTTTGTTTCCTCAGCTGAGAAGTCGCTGATTGACCGAGTCCCGCTGATGGCGGAAAACGTCCCCCATTGTGCCTCACCCACCACCCCAGCTAATGCTTGGCACTCTGCCCAGCTGCAGACTCTCTTGATTGACTGTACAGGCCTGGGGAACTTGGTGCAGTTGGGGAGGGGGGGGGGGTCCAGCTGACTCGCTATGGACGGAGGGGCAGCAGTCTCGGGACAAAGGGGTCTCTGCCTAGAGTGGGGTCATCGATTTATTGGCATGTGGGGCAGCCCCCATCTTTTTAAAGAGGGCCTGCAGGTGGACCCTGCATCCGGGTCTTTATTTCCGCTATAGCCTTTGTTCCCAGAGCCCCCCCCAGCCGTTAAACCGCTCTCTTTATTACCTTCTGCACTGCCGTGGTCCGGTGCCACCCGGGACCCCCAGAACATTCCTCATAATCTGGTCTCGGTGAGCTCCTTCGCCTTTCTCCTTCGTTAACTTGCTGTGAAATCAATTCAGGGCCCCAGTCCCCTAATTCCATCGCTAATCTATTCGCTCCGTTAATAGAACTCAATTTAGGAGCCGGAATTGCATTTACCAGTGACTCTAATTACATTACGATTTGAGATTAATTGCAAAATTAATTAATGGGGAAGAAGAGTGTTGAAGTTTAATGAATGAATTTCTGTGTTTTTTCTCTGTTTTCCGCATTGGGGTCTGTGGTCCTGGTTGACTGTGGTCCTGGTTGACTGTGGTCCTGGTTGACTGTGGTCCTGGTTGACTGTGGTCCTGGTTGACTGTGGTCCTGGTTGACTGTCCTCAGCACTTCCTCTTGACTGGCTCTGGCTTCTTCTGTGGTCCTGCAGACCCGGTCTCAGAACGGTGACCTGCACGGCCCTAATGGAGCTCGTCACTGGGATGTCAGCAGCCATCTTTGGCGTCTGCAGTTCCGCATGTGTCTCCAGCGCCGGTCCCTCCTCATGCCTCCGGCTCATGGACCGCCGAAGTACTGGGGGCCATGTGCCGTTACCTGGGGTCGCCCCAGTGTAAAATCCGTGCCTGTTGTTGTTATTGGCATTACTAATATAAATGACTTCAGTGTCCCCTTTGGGCCAGTGTGCTTCTCCTCATC